TATGTGCAGGCACGACACTGAGTATATATCATATTCTCTACAAATCTGCACCTCCATGTTTTCACATTCAGATATCTTCAGACAATATGAAGGCTTTAGTACAGGTTCATAAGAAAGAGCATACTGTCATCGCAAGTGCAGAAAACACACAATACCTAGGGTTTCTTTTAGTGTCATATTAGTAATCATTTTCAAATCATCTTTATTTAGTCATCATTGAAGTAGGAAATTCATGCTGCAAACTATTCTAATGTAAATAAATTAACATATAGTGTTAAGAAAACACAGGCATGCAGCTAAAGCAGGACATACAGTCCTCCTTAGAGATAAGTTACCCTGTCATTCTGGATCACCAGTAAAATATTTTTGCTTTGACTCTAAAGTAAAACAGAGTTCTGAAATACTAATCAGAGTGCAAAACTACTCAAGTATTCCCTAGAAATGATGCAAAAGTTTGACAGGAAATAACACATAATCAAAAATGTAGTGAGTATCAAAAAGTAAAATGGTGTTATCTGCAATATCACCTAGGTTCTATTAAAATTTAGAATTATGCATTCTAGCCTCTAAAAAGCAGCACAAAATTAATTAGATGTCTTTGCACAGCTTTTTGAAAACCAGCCCTAGCAAATAGAGAGGCTTCGCCTTATATGCATACCCATAATGGAATTAGTAACATCTGACCTTCACGTACCTGAAGCAAGACATGAGAATGGATGATCTTGCTTTATCAGTAAATTGAAGTATACTGAAATACAGGCACCCATTTTTAGCAAAAAGTGTACTGTATTGACACATGCCCTTTCACCTGGCTCCAGCTGATCATTTTGTAGTCTCTGCAGTGTGCATATCCAAATCCCACCAACAGGTGGTAATAGCTATAATGCTCATTACAATCTCTAGCAAAGCTCATGGATAGAAATCCTTTCATTTCTGCATCTATCTATCATCATCAGAATACTCCCTGTTCTTCAAAATTTTGAATCTGCTCATGTCCCTCAGCTGACAACTAAGTATAGATACTGATTTATTTATCTAATTCCATCTATTTCATGTAAAAAGAAAGAATCAAACAATATATACAATAGCACACAGTTGTTGGTTCAGTCACTTTGAACTTACATATCTTTGATTAATTAAAAAGATGGTGTCAAGGTTCTGCCTCTTATTTTCATATTTTCTCTTTCCAGTAATTTTCATGCAATGAAATGACTGTAACCTAGAAATCCCACAAGTGAAAGAATATTGGGCCTTTCTTCTCTCTCTCACAAACTTGGAAATGCTATTTCCAAGCTGCTTCTGCTAAGATGCTATGACGCTATTGCAACTTTGTTCTATAACATGATTCCTTTTACTAAAGGGCATGGGGGCAATCCAAGCCAAGGATAATCTTAGATTATAAACAGGTGAGTAGAGCATGAGTTACTTGGAGAACAGAGATTACTACAACTATGCCAACTGCCCAGGCTGAAGGTATTCAGGAGTTCTCTGCACTTGTCAGCGGGGAAAGGTGGGATATTTATTGTGCTGTGCGTGCAGTGAATTTAACTGGAAAGGTACCTACTGAATTTCAAATAACTCTCTTTATTCTCCTTCAGGCTCACAGGACAATAAACATGACTTCCTCATTTCCTAGGTTCTCCCTCCCTTTATTTTTGGTGGTTTTCCGATTCTGTTTTTTCAATATTCTCTGATAGTAAAAGATGTTTTCTTAGAACAATGATGGAGATCTGCATCTTTATTTATGACTTTGTGAATCAGCGTCTGGGTGATAGGAAGTGAAAGTTGCTCAGCTAATTACACATGCCTGATGAACTGCGTAATAACTGCCGCAGCACTGCACATTAATTGAATGCATATAAATGACAGCAGTTATTCTAACTTGAATGATGTGTGAAGAAGTGACGTTGCTCACAGTACCCTGATCATCTTTGTTTCCAATTTTGGGAATCCAGCTTAAACAATTGTATTTTTAAAGCACAGAGCAAAAATTCCCTAATAGAAAACAGTAAAAGTCACCTCAAAGCCCGGCACTTTAAAAACAAACTGCTTTAAGTCACTGAAAGTGGATTTAGACATCTAACAAAGCATACATCGAGCAACTACAATTGACAGTAATTAACAGCTAGCTGCAATTACCAGTCAGTAAGAGATGCAAGAGCAAAAACATTGGAAAATAAGGCCACCTTCATTTAGATGCCTAAGTACTGCCTTAAAAACCTAATACAGTGTTTACAGAGTTGAACTGGGCCTAACTCTAAACCATTTCCTGCTATAACACTTTGCTAAAATGTGTCTGCTCTGGAACAACAGCGACATATAGCAACTGGTATAAAAAATATATATCATAGAATCTGATAGGCAACCATGTATGTCCACACTATTTTTTTACCCTAAGAAGTATTCTAGATTCAAATATAGTCCAGCTATTAAATAACACATTATTTTAAAGAAAATAATAAGAAGAAATAATCTGATATCAAACAAATGCGTAAAGTAGTACAAAATCAGTGCTTTAAACTAGTATCAAGTGCCTACTTTCAACCAGTACCAAAATATACCTCCTACATTGCATCTCAACTGCTTCGGGAATTTGCAAATGTTCACAAAGAAATCTGCAAATTCTCCCATACTACCTAACATGAAAAGGGTAGAAGCCAAGTTTCAAAGCTTCCAAAAGCTGCCTAGTTTCCAAAGTACCATGTCACAATATTTTAACATTTTCCTACACCCCTATTAAGAGATTTTCAGCTTTACAAAGAGAGCTGTAATCACCTAATAAAGAAAATCAATGCTCACTTTCAGAAACGTGTAAATGAAAAAAAAGTATTTCACATCTACATTTCAGGAAAGTTAACACTGTTCCAAGAAAATAGGGTGTATCATGAAGAAAGTCAGTGCAGACTTTCAGTTCTGCTTTGCTATAATATATCACAGCCATTGCGCTATACCACTGGAATACAGAGCTGTGGAGCCATCCCAGCAACTTCAGTGGCAATAGTACCAGGCCCCAGTCATACGAGCTACCTCCTATGCATGTATATATGACATACTGCATCTATATACGAGCGACAAACACTCCTCTAAACCATGAGGCCAAGAAAGAGAAGCTGCCAATAAGGTCAGCATGAGACAGTGGGAGAGAGATGATCAGGTGCAACTGAGTTCAGGCTTTACAAATGTTATCTTCTCATCTGCTTTACATGGTCCTCTCTTTAAATACCTTTCTGGCTTCATTAGGACAAGATAGTCCCTAACAGTTCACTTCATAGCATAAGGAAATCAGCCTCTTTCAGCTGTATTAATTCTTCCTTTGCAAGGTCTTGATCTTTCCCCCACAATTTTTGTGTCCACTTTATACATACCTCCTTTTCTACAAATTTTCTTGCCGGGTTTTCTGGCACATTCCTTGGATATTCTTTTGACTGAAAAATGAATAGAAGACTAGAAAATAACATGGAGCTCCATCACAGACAGCAGGAGCATGCAACACCACTATCTAACTTAAATATGACCTGCTTTATTAGGTGCGGAAGACTCTCAACTGGTTGTGCCTGCACATGCAATGGATAAGATGTTGATGCATCTTCCCAGAAGTCAGTGGGTGGCAATGAGAATTAGGCACCAACTTTGACCTAAAAATACACGTGCTGTGGGAGAAAAAAATGAGTGTAGACAGAAAGAAAACAAAAACAAAAACAAAAACCAAGGACAGATGCACACACAGAAAAGCAGCATGCATACATGTAATATGTCGGCATGCAAACAAAGCAAGCCATGCATGCTACCAGTACATGTGAATTAATATTGTTAGAACGTAGAACAGGAAAATAAAAAGATCTCCCTGTTTTGCCTGCTGTTAACTCACCATCCTCAGTTGGGACATAGATATTTAAATAGAGGCAGTCTTCATTCTGATCTTGTACATAGGTGGAAACTACATCCAAATTATTAGTAAACCACACGGGAAGCATGACTTCAGGCAACCTGCCTTCTATAATGTTCTGGGGGCACACTGGAGCAAACTGAGTGGTATTTCTGATATCTGCCCAGGGAGATGGAGGCTCAGGAGGTTGAAAGCGGCGCTCCCCTGTTGGAGGGGCAGCATACGGAACCCCAAGAAACTGAATAACGGGCCCCAGAATTTCATTATTAAGTTCCTTCTTAATCCCTCTTATCTTGCCAAAGTTGGTGGTCACCACTGGGTTGGTATCATCCAATTTTTGGGAGGACACAGCTGCAGCGTGAAGCAAAAATCCAAGTATACAAGAAGCAAAAGTGGCATTCAATCCCATGTGTAACAGGCGGACTATCATCACTCTCCATACACAGTTCAGCCACATGGATCTTGGAAAGGCCATGGTCCCTCATTAGTTGTGTGACTACAGTGAAGCAATCTGATTTGTATCCACTGGTGTAAAAACAGGGCAACCGAAGGAAACAGATCAAGTTTCCTAAATAGGCGCCTGTCAGAAAAATCTCAAAAGGCTTTTCATGCGGTAAGTATCTTCCATTGATTTCACACTTATTGAAGCTGCATCTTCACTCAGCACTATTTATCAGACTACATCCTATTGACAATTCTGTTTTCCATAGCAGCAATATGAAGAGAGCAGCCATTTACTGCAGAATCCCCTCTTATAAATCAAATCCAGTTAGCCGCAGGTCTATATCCTGGAGAAAATGAAAATAAATCATTAGTATGAAAGAGCTAATATGAGCAGAGTGATAACTAGATGTTTCACAAGTTATTTACATACATTAATAGCTGCTAGAGTCATGTAAGTAAAATTGCAGTAGTTTATGGGTCCATGAAATGGCGGGTGAAACACTCACTACTGGTTTACCTATAATGTCACCTGTTGAATTTATAGAGATTTTTTCAGAAGAAAGAGAACTCACAGAAAATACATTTTTAAAATTCAACTTTTTAAGAATAAGTAATTTGCCACCAGGCTACATTTCATAAGTGTTTATGTTAATGTTTTATTTAACTTAATCAGCTCATAATCAATTTTCACCTTGTTTGCACAAGTTGATTTATCAAAAGTAATTATTTTTCAAATCAGAAGATAATGAAATTAAGATAGACAGGCATACTAAAGACTCAAATGCATTTTATTTCATTAAAAGCAGATTATAATTCATATTTTTTGTTGTTCATTTTAAAATACAACTTCTCATTAAAACATTGAGGCAATTGGAATATATTTGTATGGATAACATTAATTACTGTGCTTTTTCATGATAACCTGAATTACCAGATTTTATATGCTTTTCTTATTTCACAACTCTTTGATAGCTGATGAAAAACACCTACAAGAGTGTTCACGTCAATGAAGGCTCAAAATCTGTTCCCACTGAAGGGAAGGGCAAACTCTGAATTTGCACGTAACTGGACCTCAGTGTTTTTTTTCAAAACTGATTTGGAAAAGCATATGAACAGACAGTTTAGGGATGGAGCTGAATATCAGAATTTTTACTTCAGACCAATCCTGCATTCCTTATAAACTACTGACTTAAGTGAAAAATGAAAACACATGATGAATGCACCAAATCCCTACCATCCTCAATTTATAACAGAAACAATAAACGTTCCCATAGGACAGTAGAAATCTTATCTTTCATATACCCGCATGCTGACTGAACAATATCCTAGAAAAACAATCAGTTAGGATCAGAGACTGTATAATCTCAAATTCCAGATCTTATTTGCAACTACTTCAGCTCAGAGGTTGTCACACAAAGCTGTGTTCCAGCACTTCTGAAAATTGCTCAGTGCATATCATTATAACTTCCATATTTATGTTAAACACATTTCCACCACGACTTACAATATCCCATTATTTAAGATGCAGTGTTATACACAACATACCAGTGTAATCTTACACTCCCTATTAAGCAGTGTGTAATGCACAAAAATGTGTTTTGCTTTGTATAGGAAACATTTTAAACCACCTGCTTTTGAAACAGCATTGGCAGCTTTGATGAGAATTGTTTTTTTATCATGTCTATACACATTGTAGAGAGAATTCAAAAGAACGGCTTGTGTAATAGTCAGACTACCCTGCAGTTTGGGTTATTAAAAAGGAGATTGTAAAAGCTATATAGGACAGCAGGAGATTTGGTTCATGTCTAGTGTTCCTTTAGCTCTGAACAATCTATCTCAGGAGGCAATAAGGAGATAGATGAAGCTTTTCCATAATTTTCTCTCTCTCCTTCTTTCTCTGCTAATTCTAACATCTTCACTGTGAAACTGCATTAACAAACAAGCTTGTATTCTTCATTCTCCCGTTTCAAATTCTCAGCATTTGCTGGAAACACACCAATTTAGCTGCAGAAAATAATTCCCCAAACTTGCTGTACGTGTTAGCATTCAGTTTAATAAACTTACGCAGAATGGCGCGCAGACAACTGCCTCTTGGAAGATTGTTACGTTGTTGCATTTCAAATTTTGAAGGTAGTGGGATATTACTTGAGAAATACATAGTACATAGACAAGTGCCCGAACAGAAAGCACCAAGTACGACTTTGCTCTTCTGAGTTGAAGTGCAGTAGGTTATGGAAAAATGGAAGCTTACTAGTGGTATTCAAAAACCTCCACAGATTTAAACCTTTTCCACTAGGTCTTAAAATCCATGTTTGTTTTTTCCTGTCAGAAGTGGAAAAATGCACTCTCTCTTCTTTCTTAAATTCAAACTTATAAATAGCAGGAACTTAATCTCAGTAGCCCTCCTGCTAATTCACATGGTCTAGGGAGGTCTGAGGACAAACTAAATTCAACATAGCTCTGCCAAACAATAGCACCCTTCTTCATTTCAAGCTGCTGAGTTAGTTCAACATGGAAAATTACCAAATTGCTACTAATAATTCATTTAGCACTTTCACTCTAAGAGTCTAACACCTGTTTTCAGATCTAAGATAACTTTTTCATACACTTGATACCTAAATGGTAAATTCAATGCAAATCCTAGGCCTGGGCTATAGTTTTAAGCTTGTCCATCAGCTGTTTTGCCATTGCTGCTGAACAGTTCTGATATGATCTAAAGTTCTAGTTTGCCTCCCATAAACAAGGTTTTACTGTAAGACAGAGACAGGAGGCTCAAAAGGTAAGAATATAATATAATACTGTGTTTGGCTATTTTTGATTAATTAACTATTGGGTAGTAGCTGTGAACAAATTTATAGGCTATAGAGGACAGTAAATTGGAAAGCTCATGCAGAATTGGAATCAACAGATTTTCACCATATTTGTAACTTACATTTTGGATTTATTTTTTTTTCCCCCACAAGCCTTTCTTTTTAAATGGCTAAGTAACAGTTTATTTTTGAGACTGAGAGGTCAAACATTCAAGCCTGTCACTGGCTGCCCTGAAGCTATAACATTAAAAACACAAATTCACAGAAAGAAAGAGGCTGAGATTACTCAAATCTTTTAAGACTTTTATGCCAAAATTTTATTTTGAGCACTAGATGGAAATGCAAGAAGGAAACCAGCCTGGGGGATGTCTTAATTGTTGAGAATCAGTTTTGGACAAAATTTTTCTTAGTCCTCCACCAAGTTACCTACATAGGACTATCCCTTGGTATCTGAACTTGATTTAACAGGAATGAGTGGAAAGAAAAGCAGTAAATAGGAACAGGAAAGATCAGGGAGATGAGCAGGGCAATAGAGACTACGGATGATCAATTTGGGGTAAGGTTCAGTATGAAAATATTGTGGATCTGCGGAGGAGGAGAAAAATTTTCAAATGTTATTATTGTCTAGATGTGAAGATCACAACTGGTCCCTGTGGTAACACAGATGAATTCTACTGTAAAAGGTATTTGATAAAGTCTTTCATCGTCTTTGGAACAGTCTATGCTATATAGAGGGGTTTTTTTCTATCATCTATTATTTTATTCTCTTCCTTTCTAAATGTAAATTACTTTATAGCTCAGATTCTGAAATACTTTACAGAAGCATTTAGTATGCTGAGAAGCGAGCAATCCAAGATAACTTCAGCACATCTTTGCATTTCATTTGACACAGGGCATCCCACAACAGTTCACATCTGCTGCAAACTGCAACAGCTAAACTCCTCTTTGTTACTCATGCAAAGAGTGTCAGATCTTAAGGGATGTCTTGAACTGCACAACCTGTCAATAGTTCCAAAGGACTAATAAAACCTTTGGTGGCACCCAAGGCTTCCAGCCATATGCCAGCTTCAGCACATGTAAAGGCATTGTTATGATATCTTTATACCACTGGCTGTTTTCTTTTTAGCTGAAGATGTACCCAGTAATTTGATATTCATGCTTAAGAACTCCTTTCCACCTCAATTTTGCTAGTAAATCCCAACTGCATGAATATTCGTAGAAAGCAACTGTAAGAGTTTTGAACAGCACACAATGCTGCTTCATTTCAGAACACAAATGCTATTTTGCAGAACCAACTACATTTGCATCCATTTTTACTTACAACAGTCTCTACTTAGAACTAAGAGCCCAAAGTTGTTTCATGTCTCTAAAGAGAAATCCATGTTCTAAAATATGCTACGATGACAAACAGGAACATGGCCAGTGGAATAGAAGCCATTAAAGGAAAGACTCTGACCCAGGGTGAACACTACGCCGGTGTGACACACCAATTGTAAACATGATCAGACAAATCCTTGAGATGTATCACAGAATTTCCCATCTCTTCATTCATGTTTCAAGTTAGCAAAGGGAAGCATTGTGTCAAATACAGCATATTTTTTCTCTACGTAGTAGTAAAGATTTTTAAACAGGCCCTAGTATTTCCATAAATACTTGGTGAAAGGAAGGGATTTATATGTATTTAGTTCAAGAAATGATCTACATACATTAAAAAAAAAAAAAACAAACAAAACAGGTGTATGAAATTATAATAGAGGAGACTGCAGTCCTGAATACATACACCTAAGAGTATGGCTCTGGGGGGGTTTGGTTAGCTCCCTCATGCCAGCACCCCCTCAAACTGAAAACAACTACAGGTCTAGAAGCTCCAGAAAGCAGCTCGAAAACAAATCTAACCCTATTGGGATGCACAACATTTGCTGAAATAGCCAATAAAGGTATGAATATGACATTATTCTGATGGGTCAGTCCTGGCCCACATTGGTATAAGATTACAGATTACAAGTGTTATGCTACACAGGGCCACACACAACCCAGTGGATAAAGATTTCCAGATACTACAAACTGTGTAGATAAATCACTCTGAGATCAGAGAGACTGAATCCTCAGTGCCATTCTTTTGCCTCTATTGTTTTGTACATAAAACCTTACAATCAAATTAATACAAAATACAGTATTTTGCTACAGCATTCAACACAGTGTAACACAGATTAGTGAAAAGTTGAACTAAACTGAGTAGATGCTGTAAGACATTTAAAATGTCGTGCATTTTTCAGCTTCACTGTATTTTTGTTCTTCTCCATTAGTGGGAATATTCACTAATGATAACTCATTATTAATTAGTATTTTCATGATCAAAAGATCCCTTTAAATAATTTCTGCAACTTAGTTTGCCAAAATAGGAAGATTTATGATCATAAATTTCTATTAAGCTTTTTTTTAAATAGACAAATTAAACCTATGAGAAGAGGGTCACATAAGTCTTATTATCTCCCATTTACTCACATCAATAAATCATTTTCTTAAAA